AGTATTGTATATATATTAAATAATAGTTTATGGACATGGCTTGACTTTGAGACGTTCGTATGCCGCTTTTTCTAGTGCTTCTCTGTGATCCGGGTGTGCAACGTTTATTAATGCGTAAGCTCTCTGCCGCAAACCTTTTCCAAACAAATAGGCGACACCGAATTCAGTCACAACGTACTGCACGTGTGCCCTTGTCGTTACGACACCAGCACCTAAAAATCGAGTCAAAAAATTTTAAATCCTCTTCCGGTGACCAAGAGATATACCGATTCAAAGATTCAACGTTAAATACAGAATGTTATGTGCTGTATTTTTTAACTGACGATTAAACCTATTCAGTCAAGTTGAAATACATGAGTTTCACTCCCCTCCTATTATAATAAATATCGAAAAGACGTGGCAAAAGTTTTGACGTTTACTTATTAATACAATGATTACCTGTTTTAAGAGTAGGTACAATTTTAGTTTGTCCTTTGTTTGTAGTCGAAACCATAGCTAAAATTGGTTTTCCTTTACCATCAATTGCTTCTCCAGCACCTCTGAGGAAATCGACTTGACCCCCAAAACCGGAATACATTCTCGTTCCGATAGAATCTGAACATACTTGACCAGTAAGATCGACTTCTATGCACGAATTTATTGCTGTCATTTTCTTTTGTTGTGCTACGACTTCTACGAAGAAAAATAAAAAACCAATAAATAGATAAGAAAAACATTTAAATGAAAAACTATATGTAATAATTAATATTTAGCTAACTTACTTGTGTTATTCACGTAATCAACGACCAACATTTTAACTGCAGGATTATTGTTTACGAAGTCGTATAGTTGCTGAGAACCTATTAGGAAGGACCCAACAGTTATCCCTGCGTAGGAAGTTTTTTTGCTGTTATTTACACAACCGTTTTCAACTAATCCAATGACACCATCGGCAAACATTTCTGAATGAATTCCTAAGTTTTTATGACTATGCAACTGCGCCAAAACGGCATCAGGAATACTACCTATACCTATAGAAATAAAAAAAAAAGATTATACTGGAAAAATCGTTTTAGTTAAAGCATCATCCATAAAAGACTTCCACCAGTTTTCAATACTTTTTTGTCTAACCCTCTCACTCTTAAGATCGCATGTAGTCACAGAGGCGACCCCTTGATAAAAACGTCACACTTCCACCAGTTTTCAATACTTTTTTGTCTAACCCTCTCACTCTTAAGATCGCATGTAGTCACAGAGGCGACCCCTTGATAAAAACGTCACAAATCACTAACCCCGATATTCAACCCCCCACCCCCTGATCGTCATGTATACTCATATTTTAATGACCCCCCTGCCTCCTATAAAACAGACGTCCTTTATGATCCCATATCAATCGTTTCTAGACAAATGAGATTTTTTGAATCTTATTAAATGGATTACTCTTGATGTATACAAGTTAGAAGAGTGGTCGAAGTCTCAAATCAAAGCTGTCATTATTATCCTTTCTTTTTTAAAGTACTTTTCATTTTTGTTTTATTTAAAAAAATTAAATAAATTCCAAACACATAGTAATGAGTTGGAACCTGCGCTTCGGGCAAAGGATAGTTTAGGGTGCTCTTAAGAAAAGTACGGAGCCCAATTTTTGTTAGATGTTAAACAAACAGAAATATTTTGATTTCTTTATGGAACTGCATAACCAGACTAATGAACTAATGTTGTGGTGTTATAGGCGAATGATCAGGATAACGTGGGTAGAAAAGGTTAGAAATGAAGAGGTATTAGAAAGAATAGGAGAACAAGGGACTCTATGGAAGTCGATAAAAAATAGGCGAGATAGGTTGGTAGGACACCTTCCTCAGGTATGAAGGTCTAGTCAGAGACATATTAGAGGCAGAAATAGGAGTTAGGAGGGGTAGAGGTAGACCTAGGTTAGACTACTGTTTGCAAGTAGTTAGGGTTGTTCTAGTTTTAGGGAAACGCGAAGTTTAGCTCACAATAGGAAAGAGTGGAGTTACGTGTCCAACCAGTCTTAGGACTGACGACCTTATGATGATGATGATGATGATGATGAACTAATGTTGCTGATTTTTATTGGGTATTTATCCGGGTAATTGAAAGCTTACATTTATTAAACTCCTTCATAAAGGTGGTAATTTACTTAATGTTAAGTAAATAATAAATGCTTTTACCCATTTGAAGTGTAGCCCCGTCTTCAACTAAATTTTCAGCTATAAATTTTCCAATTTTTTCCTCGGCTTCGCTAAGTTTTTTATGAGCATGCGAAGGTAACTTTTCGTTTACACAAACGGCATAATCTATTTGACTAACATGTATCACACCGTCTCCAAACGTTCTCGGCATTTGCTGGTTCACTTGTCCAACAATAAGTTTGGAATGTTGCATGGCGGCCCTTACACAATCGACGCTGGTACCCGTGCTGCAATATCCATGTTCATCGGGCACCGAAAGGGACACCACACAAAAGTCAGGCTGAAGAATCTTTCGATAAAATAGATATGGGATTTCGTGTAAGAAAATAGGTATTGTATCCGCTCGACCTTCTGCTACAGCCTTTCTAACGTTCCCTCCCATGAAAACTGAGTAAGATCTGAAAAAATCTCATGAATTCTAGCCATCGTCAAAAATCTTTGAACTACTATAATCATTCTATTAATCTAATATTGTTTCCAACTTTTTATTGTAAAAATGTTTGACATTAGTTCTCTTCAGCACGCCATAGACAATTTCGATAAATCATCGACCATACCGAAGTTTCGTATCTATCACGTATATCGTGGATTTAATTTGACAAACATGTTCGAAAAATTTTGTGCTGATGGGAACTAATAAGATCGAAATTCGGATAGTTTCAATAAATTACTGATAAGGGTTTGGCGTTTAAGCTTTGGCTATTAATAAAAATATTTCACAAGCAACACTCCACAGTCAAAATAACAATTTATAGTTACGTAAAATTCTCTGCCAATTCTGGTGCACAGTAAGCTGCAGGCCCTTCCGTATGCATATGGTACACTTTTACGCCTTTTAGTTTTTTATTTTTTCCTACTTCGGCCAAGGCGTTCAACAACAATATTGGTGTTGCTGCCGCACCAGATGCAAATACCGTCATCCCTAAAATTAAATGAAATTAATAATACAAATTAACTTTATCAACTAGGTACATAAATATAAATATTACTTAATAATGTACATTAATAACGCGTACTTAACTTATTTTTTTGGGAAATCCTTAAAAATAATTGCTAGGAACTTATTTCATATAATTGAAATTATTTTACTTCCTAAAATCATTATTAAACATGTTATGAAATTATTGAACAAATCAAATAAAACAAAAACTCGTTCGTTCAAGTTGCTATTTTTATTAATATTTAATTGAAGATCAATTGCAACAGAGTTGATAACATCTACATTGTCAAAACTCTTGTTATTTAGGTCAGAGGTCCTTAAGTGAAGATCTAATACTGTTGGTTCTATTTTTGGTGCAACAGCAATATTACACAATTGCAACCATTCCACATCTAATCTATCAACTTCATTACAAACGGCATTTAATGTTTTTTTTAACGACGCCTCAATTTCCGTAAGTCTGCTCAAGTTCACCGAACTTGTCAGTCTAAAAAAAACAACGTTAATAAATCTAGTTTACAAATTACTGAGAATAAATTACCTTCCTGTCTCCAAATATGATTTTTTTGCATATTTCTTCTTCTTTTTTGTGGGTTGANTAATTTTTAGTATACGAAGATACAACTTACTTAATAAATACTGCTTTATTACGTATATTTCGGTTTATCAACAAAGTAATTACGTAAACGGACAAAATATATGATGTTGCTGATGTTATTAACTCGGTTGATCGATACAATTATAGTTTCAAAATATGAACAACAGGTTATTTTTGTTTCTTTGATAAAGATTAATCATCGATCCTATCAACATTTTAACTTGTGGAAAAGAACGGAGTTCAAGATGTGGTGTTACAGGGGGATGTTAAAAATACCGTGAATAGAAAAAAAGAGTAAGAGAACAAAGGGCGCTATGGAAGCCAACAATAAATAGGAGAGATAGGTTGATAGGACAACTTCTCAGACATGAAAGGTTAGTTAGAGACATGTTAGAAACAGAAACAGGAGTTAATGGGGGTAGAGCTAAACCTAGTAGATTACTGTTCTAAGTTAAAGTTATTTCTGGACTTGAAAATGCTTGTTTGATTTGAGCTAATTACGATACTATGAATGTCCTAAAATGTACCGAGTGTTTAAAAAAAAAAACAAAATTACCTTTTCAACTTTTAATAATCCTGTTACCGTTCATGTAGTGTCCGACCGAAACTGGTTTTTACGACCGAAATCGAAACTGTAACCGAATTTCGGCAACGGTCTCAGTTTCGGCCGAAACCGAAACCGAAACCGAAACTTCCTTAGGTATAAGGATCATGTTTTGAGAGAAAAATAAAGAAAACGTTATTATAATCAGTCAGTTTTATTTTTTTATCTTTAAATCACATAGCTCTGCAGTCTTTGACATTTTCACTTATTGATAATCAAATCAAAATCAACATAACAACCCCTCATTTAAGGAAATACTTTAATTAAGCCTTAAAAATACTTAAAATAGGTGAGATGTTTATTTGAGTAAG